ATCTTGTACTCTGGTATTTAAACATTTTTGCATGCAATTTAAAAACCGATTAATAGTGAAGAGGTGTAGTTTTTTCTTTTCCATCATTGGCATTTAAATGTTACAATTTGTCTGAATATCGTTTTATAAAAGATTTGAAACAGTAAAGACTTGGATACTTAGCTTTCATTTTCCTGCCTGGAGAAAATGGTTAGAATGTGACTTACCATCTGTATTTCTCTTCTGTTTAGTTAGCCTTTAGGTTGCCATAGTATTGTTGTTGTTTTTAACTTTGAAAAACTCCAAACTAATTTAGTGACCAGTTTTTTACAAAAGCAGCTAAGAATCCTCCATTGATGCAACTCGACGTATCTGGGTACCACAATGTTTTTAAAATATAGAGTGATGAGTTTGAATTTAGACTTAAGTACAAAACATTTGCTGAGTTTTACTTTTTTTTTTAATTGTTGGTTTTAATCTGTAAATTGTTCTCCTTGCATTAGAGCATAGAGAGTGTAGGGATTCACATCTTGTTCTACAGCCTTAAGGAAATTAACAAAATATACTGGGCGGGGGCAAGTTGGCATTCATTTACTTTAGACTAATTGAGAGTGAAAACTGAATTCTAAGTTTCAAGGAAATTAATCTCATGTTCACATTTCTGTTGAAACAATTTTTTTTTAATCCGGTGCAAAGCTCTTCCATCAAGCTACTCTTCCACTGGGATGACAGAAAACATTCAATTATGCATAAAATAAAAATACACTCAACATATTCATCTTCTTTTTATTTTGGATTACAACAGATCTAGGAGTATATACTGAAGGTAGAGAAAAAGGCAAACTTTCTTCTGCAGAGGCCCTATCCTGCCTGTTTTTGCTCCCTGTCAAGGTCTGGGAGTGCTTGCTGGACGTGTTAAGAAGCGTTCCCTTAGAAATCGACTGACCCTACCCCTGTGCATTCTCCTAAACCACAGCAGAATCCATGGCGGTGACTGGTATTTGGAGCCCAAAAAAGGATATAGTAGAGAAGAGTCATAAAGTTAAAAAGAATAAAGTAATCATGTTTTCCTTTTTTTTTATGTTCAGAATTTATGATGTCAAATTCTATTAGGATAAAAACATGAAAACATGAGATGATTATGTGAGGAAGCAAATTTTGAACATGAAGATAGTTTTTAACATAATGTATTCGACAAGCAGCCCCCGCTTTTATTGACTAAATTCAAGTATGGTTTGGTTTATGAATCCCCAATTCCTAAGGAAATGATTTTAAACAAATTGTGGGACATGTGTACACAAATTTATGACTTGACTCTGGCAGGGAAGAATGGTCTCTCCGAAAGAATAAAATCCTAGGGGTTATAAATGGGTCAAAAAGAATTAGATTTTTTATTTATACTTCAGAAATGTAATCAAGTGAATGAAATGGTTTCATATACATTTTTACATCCAACAGCAGTGACACACTGTTCATACATTAATTCTATAGGAAAATGTACATCCTTCTTTTTTTTTGCTAAGTAAGGTTTGCCAAGTGTTCATGGACAAAACACCTTTCATTGCAACCTGAACTAGTGGAATAACAAGGGTAAGCCGTGTTCCTTTCAATAGCTTTATGGCATTAATAAAGCTATTGTCCAAATGCGTGTTAATATTGGCATGTGCAGGATGAAGTCTCACAAATTCTTCAAAATGTGAACGCCCAATTTGAGAACTTTACAAAATAGTGTAATGGATTTTGTGACTGAATCTGCCCAGGAACATTAAAGTCCAGGATGGTTTATTTTAAGTGTACTTCTGAGGTTCTATTCCTAGCTGCCTAGTCTTCGATTCCCTAATCACAAAGAAATGCATTCTTATGAAGTTAAGCAGCTGTAGACACAGAATGCTGATGACATTTTCTCCATATCTGAGTTATCTAAAGAAAACCCAGGTAGTGGTAATTCTACCAAATACTTGTAACATTCACATGAAATTTTAATTGATTTTCCAACAGTACAACTGTGCCATGAATCCAACCACATAGAATATAAGCCTTAAGCCCACTAGGTTTAAGCAATTGTGTCTTTGTAGACTAAAACTATGTAAAATAAAATCTGATAACTCCCTGGTGTTAGAGGTAGACAGTTTTCTTTCAAATCCTAGGTTTGGTCCTTTATTTTATTCAGCAGTGAAAGCCATGAATACAGAACGAATAACAGCTGTTACAATTCTCAACCATGACTTCTAATGTCAGAGAATTCAAAGTATGAACATAGTACACAGTAATGAAAAGTATCAAAAATTAGTTTACCTCAAAAAAGATAAATAAAACAGGTATATTCCACCAATACATAAACAGATGTTTGTGCTACAGTTAAAATTTGCTGTATACAAAAGATCATAGTCCCCATAATCAGCTTATGATAGAAGCAAGAATACATGAGCCATTTAAATTGTCAGACATTATGCTTTATAAGGTATGCACAGAAGTTCAAGCAATAAATACATACATTAGTTCAAAGCCTTACAATAGCTACGCAAAGCAGATGCAGAAAAGCAGATTTGCTATTACTAGCAAGCAATGATATAAGAGTAAAAATTCATGAAATGCATTAAAGCAACATTTTTCTTAGAAAAAGTCTGGTCATTTATGGGTCCACCAACATTTTTACATAATATGCACAATTATCAAAATACAGACCAAGCATTTCAGAAAACTCCAAAAAACCTAAAATCTATTTTCAAAGCAATTGCAGTTTTGGAGGTTTTTCTGGTATAATGTGCAAGCAGCTATTTTTTAAAATTGTATTCATATAAAACCCATGCAAAACTCTACAGGTATATGCATTCTGTGGCTGAGACTTCCTTTCAAAAGTTTTGTAACTGAGG